AGGTCGGGCGTGTCCTCCTACAGGAGGACCTTGGACGAAAGATGCAAATACTCGAACGACTGCTCCAAGCTGGTCAGAAACAGCCCAAACATATCGCCCCCGGACTGCTCCCTCGACTACTTCTGAGCACTCCTCCTGTGGAGGGAGACGTGCCCGACTTCGGGCCAGCTCTCCATCCCGAGCCGCTCTCCGGCCGCCCCGAGGCCGGCAGGCGCCCCCCCAAGGTGAAGGGGAACTGGAACACACAAATAAATACACACAAATAAAAATATCCCCCATATTTTCCCATATTTTCTGGGTTTTCGTCTTCCCCCCCACTTCCCATATTTTCCCATATTTTCCTGGGGATCACCGATTAATTGTGTCTGTGTGTTTTTTCTCCTCCTGACAAGGGGCCGACGGCGATGACAGCACCGCCGGCGCGAGTCTGCTCTGCGACGCCCGGGCCCGTCGGTGTGCTCCGTCTGCCGGGTCGCGCAGCTCTGCGCATCGCCCCCCCCGCGATCCTCTTCACGCCCCGGCACCCACGCCCCGGAGAGGGCCAGCGCTTCGGTCCAGGCCGCGACGTGCGAAGGGCGGCTGTCCTCGCGCCCCGGCGGGTGACCTGGCTTCTCCTCCTCCTCCTCCCCCACGCCCTGGCCCTCCCCATCCTCCTGCCGCTCCTCCTCCCCCTCCCCCTCCTCCTCCTCCGCCTCCTCCGCCTCCTCCTCCTCCTCCTCCTCCTCCTCCTCCTCCTCCTCCTTTCGGTCCCTGGCGCCTCCCGTGCGGAAACTCGAGGGCGGCGCGGGCGGCTGGTCGAGGTCCTCCGCAAGCGGTTGGGGGGGGCAGCGGAGGCGGCAGTGGGGGGCGAAGGCATCGCGGAGTCGGGGGGGGGGGAAGGCTCCCTCCGGCCCCCCCCCTTCGCGACCTCTTGCCTCCTCCCCGCCCTCCTTTCCCTCCTTGTTTTTGGGGGGCAACAGCGGGCCCCGCAGCGCGCGGCGGCCTCGGCCACGGCGCGTTGCCGACGAGCGCAGGGCAAACCAAGAACGCGCAGAAACACCGCGACGGTTGCGGGCACCGGCACGCCACGAACGCTACGCGACAACGTGGTCCCAAGACGAGGCCAGGACAGGGGCAGCATCGCACAGGGAGAACTCGGGGATCTCTGAGATCTTGCGGCTCTGGGGGATGCATCGGGCGCCGCGACCGCTCCAGGGCGTTCGGGAACGCTCTGGGAGCGTTCTGGAACGCTCTGGAAGGATTTCATCCCAAGCCCAACCCCGTCCGATCTCGGCACGTCCGGCCTCTGGAGGCTTTTGCCGGGCCCCAGGTCCATCGAGAAGCGGCTCGGGACGAAGCGCGGCTTCCAGGAGAAGGGGTCGCCGACCTCCAGAGGCCCGCGCCGTCAGGAAACCACGACGCCGGGGGTTCGGGCTGACTGTGTAGGGTCAGGTCGGGCGTGCCCCCCTATAGGCGGCTTTTGGACGGCGGTTTTTGGACGACAAATGAAACATAGCCAAACAATGCGCCACGAATGCTCAGAGATGGTCAACAAAAATCGTCCCCAGACCATTTCTCGACCACCTCTGGATAGTCCTCCTGCAGAGGCACACGCCCGACTCAGGGGCAGGGTCGACGGATGGCCACGAGAGCGCGGGTCAAGACCACGAGCCCCCTCGCTGTGATGGACAGCGACCCTTCCGAGGCGGAGGGCCCAGGGGCGCAGAGCACGGCAGGCCCCCCCCCCCCTCCTGGACAGCTCCGGGGGTGCTCGCCATCGCTCGGGCGTCCGCCGTTCCCTGTGCTTTTTTGTCGCTTCCGTGCGTGGCTTTTGCGCCAGAGGATCACGGATGCTCCTCGATGGTCCTCGCCGAAGGAGAAAACCTCCTCCTCCTCCTTCTCCTCCTCCTCCTCCTCCTCCTCCTCCTCCTCCTCACCCTCCTCCTCCTCCTCCTCCTCCTCCTCCTCCTCCTCCTTATCCTCCTCCCCGAGCGATGCCTAGGGGTGTGCTCTGCGCCCCCCGCGCGGGCTGCAGGTCGGCCCCCTGCCCGCGCCCCCCGGAGAGGCGGCGAGGCCACGGGGGGGGGGGAGCGCGGGTCGCCGCCGACGTCGGGGCCCCCGCTGCCCCTCGCCACTCCCCCTCCTCCCCCCCTCCCCTCCTCCCTCCTCCCTCCTCCTCCTCCTCCTCCCTCCTCCCTCCTCCCTCCTCCCTCCTCCCTCCTCCCTCCTCGCTCTCTCTCGCTCTCGCTTCCGGGGGCCTGCGAGGGGGGGATGGGGCGCAGATCATGGCCGGCGGCATGTGAGGGGGCAGGGGACGCCATGAAAGGAGCAGAGGCGCCATGAGATCTGGGGCCATACCATGGCCCTGGCCATGATATCCACACCCCCTAGTCATCCCCCCCCTCATGGCCGCCCCCGACTCTCTCTCTCTCTCTCTCTCTCTCTCTCTCTCTCCCCCCCCCCCGACCCCCGGGTGTCGCGCTCGGGGGAGCCGCCGTGAGGCACGCGCGTCCTTGATCGCCACGGCGGCGACGGGGATGTTCGGGGTCAGTCCGTCCTGGATCTCGCGGACGGTCCCCAAGGACTCCTGCGGGGTTTTCAGGGCGCCAGGAGACGGGGGGCAAGGCAAACGGGGGCATGGGGAGCGCCGATATCCGAGTAGGAGATCGACATCATAATTGATTTAGCCCAAAATGAATTGTCCCGTCGGATCTACGACAAATGTGTCGAATCCCCCGCTCAAGGGGGCCCTGGGCGCTGCAGACGGGTGCACAGTCAACGGGGGCGTATGGACAAGCTAAATCCCCGATCTGCGAAGCCCCCGAGGGGTGCCCGCGGGCCCCCGCTCCATCGAGCCGCGGCGTCGCATCGGATCGGCTCGCCAACAAGCGGCCGCCCCCACGCGACTCGAGATCGGACCTCCGCGCCCGGCTCCGCCCTGGCCCCGGCCGATGCTGGTTCTAGAGGAACAAGAACTATGCACATACACCGATTCTGGCCAAGCCCATCCTGAGCCCAGGATCGGTGCATACGCCCTCCTACCTTGGCCAAGAAGGCATATGCACCGATCCTGGGTCAAGGATGGGCCTCGGTGCATGTGCATAGTTCTTTTCGCCCGAGGTTCACCGCATCGCACCGCAATCGAAGCGAATCGCATCGCCTGCCATGGGGGAAGCGGGTCCCGAGGTCTCCCGCCGTGCGCGGGCTCTCGGGGCCTTCCACGGGCCCAGGGGCCGTCAGAAGAGGACTCGGGATGAAGAGCTCGTTCTGGGGGAAGGCTCCAGGGTCCAGGACCCGTTTCCCTCGGGATCCGTTTTCCCCATTCCGTGCATCGAAATCGCATCGCCTCGGAACACACACGCAAACTGATAGACACTAATAGCCCAGGATTCCCGACCTTTTCCATACTTTCTGGGTGTTCGTCCCCACTTCCCATATTTTGCAGTATTTCCCTCGGGAATCGACGATTACTTGTGTCTGTGTGTCTTCCCCTCCCGACTTTGGGGCGTGCGTGGTTTAGGGCGTTTCCTCTTCCAGCTCCATTCTTACCCTTCGGGGAGGGGTTTACCCCTATCCTTACCCCCTGCTCCTGGACCTGGATGGGGCGCCCCGCGGGTCATTAGAGCGTCCAAGATGACCTCGACGAGACGGCACAAATCATTGATTCCTTTAAGGATTTGGGCCCATTTTGGCCTCCTCGGGGGGGACACTAACTGGACCCCCCCTTCTATGATCGAACTCCTCCAAAATGGCCCCAAGATAGCCCCCAAGGCTCCCAAGAGCGCCCCAAGAGGGATCAAAGAGGCGCCCAGGAGCCCCCAAGAGGTCTTCAAGAGACTCTCAAGAGATCCCCAAGAGGCTCCCTCGAGGCACCCAAGACGCTCCAAGGCCTATGGCCTTTCTGCTCGCCCTCCTCCTCCTCCTCCTCCTCCTCCTGTCTTCCTCTTCCTCCTCCTCCTTCTCCTCCTCTTCATCCGCCTATTCCTCCTCCTCCTCCTCCTCCTCCCTCCCTCCCCGTCCTCCCCGTCCTCCCTCCCTCCCTCCTCCCTCCTCCCTCCTCCCTCCTTCCTCCTCCCTCCTCCCTCCTCCCTCCTCCCTCCTCCCTTCTCCCTCCTACCTCCTCCCTCCCCCTCCCAGCAGAGATCCTAATTATCTTGAGCCGGGGCGGTAGCGGAACCGCTCCATCTCTGTTGCTGCTTTCAGTCCCCAGGAAAACTCCAAGAGAGGGGCTTTGGTCCAGAATCTTCGTTCCGGTTCGTGTTTCCGAAGTAACTCGTTTACTTCAGGGTCTCCAGAGCCTCTGAATTCTCATGTCTATGATTACATCACGAGGTGCCTAAATGCGCTATGATACGCATGCACACACACAGCGCAAAAAAAAGGGGCCGCACTCAGGCCTCCAAAAGAAATATATCATTATCACTGTACTCGTTCTTCCGCTCGATAAACTTCCTGCTGGTGAACTGCTTCCCACTGATGCTGATAATCTTCCAGATGCCGGTGCTCACCAGATGCCGGTGCTCACCAGATGCCGGTGTCAATCTTTCCTCTCGAATCGACAGGATGGAGAGTCTGCTGTTCTTGTCGATCGGAATTCCCTTGGCTCCAAAACACACTTGCCAGACATCCAGACAATCCGTATAGTGATCTATAGCTAACTCCATACGTCCAGAATCAAAATATTGCAGCACGTCTGGAGGTCGGTGTTGATATGATGTAGCTCGCAGTAGTTCAGTGAATTTCATGGTAGTGATTTGGGCGTACTGGTTCACCTTATATCCTGCATTCGTCTCCGCATGACAAGTACTGTGTGCCATCCGTTTTGCTGTCACACTTTGAACCACCATCTTATGACATCGTCCGCCAAAGTAGTTCTCGTCCTTCATGTCTGTTTCGTCCTTCTTGTCGAAGTGGATCTCATTCATTCGGTCCTCCATGAGCAATACTGCACTTCCTTCTTGAAAATAAGACGTGATCTTGCTGCCATGCGATGCGTCAGCCACTGATGCCAGTCGGAAAGGAGGAACGAGTACAGGGAAATGAAGTCCCGCGAGTCGTCGGTTTCGGATCGCTCGACTTATGACGGTGTGCAGCTGGATGATGTTCTCAACCTTGGCGTCTCTCACAAATTGCTGTAGCTGAGCTGTGTTGCAATAGATGTCCTCCCGTGTCTGACACAATCACAGTAGTGGGCATATGCCACTGCGAAGTTGATGGATCTCGTGGGCTGCTAGTGGTTCCTTTGGCTTTGCTTGTCTGTCCTTACTGAGTTCGACCTGTTTGAATCCGTCCACAAACTTGTCCTGCTGAATAAGAAGATGTCGTCCTTGAAGTAGTTCGTAAGTCATGCCCATGTGTGTGAATGGAAGGTCGTGTCGTTTACCTTTGCCACATCGTTTCTGGGTTTTCTTGGGCCCATCTCATCCATGTTTGGGGTGCCGATATGATGCTATCGTCCACGTGTGCTGTCAAGGTCATCTTGATCTTGCACTTCTCGACCCACATGAAGATGTTGTCGTCGAAGACACTCTGTACTCCCTTGAGGTCGTTCTTGATGAACATGGTCAGGGCTAATTGCCATAGGAGTGGCGCGTCCACTGTCCCGTAGGTAGGCTTCAACAACATGAGATAGAAGGATTGACTATCACTGTCACCTAAGTGTATCGTGGACTTCTCGTACTTCCGAAAGTGTCGCCATACGTTCGTAAGAGGCTTCATGTAGACCTTTCTAATGCCTGATTTCGATGCCGAGCTGATCCGCGTACTTCTTCAGGTCCCGGAAGTTCAAGCCCTGCAAGAAAGCCGTCGAGATGTCCCAGGCCTTCATCTCCATGTCCTTCGCGATGCTGAAGAGTGAAGCCACCATTCGCTGCGAAAATCTCGATGTTTTCGAACTGTGGCGCGTAACGTCATGTTTCTGAGAAGCCATAAATCCACGTCCGCAGAGTCGGGATTTGATGATGTAGTACAGGTTGTTGTCCTCGTCGTACATCTTCTTCCAGCGTCGAGCCCATGCCACGTCGATTGATGTTCCCGTTGTCTGGGTCATTGCCGTGCTTGGCCATGAAACAATTGTTGTCGATGAACGATCTGGCTTCTTGTTGATCGGCTTTCTCAACTAAGTCCCAGTATTGGTAGATCTCCGATTCTGTCAACGCATCATCGTTCTGCGCGAGAATGAATTCGACGGTCATCGTGTCAAAATAGAAGCATCGGCTTCTGCCGAATGGACCAGGTATGACCCGGTGGGCTGCCCTCATATCCCAAGGATGTTGATGAGGTTCCATGCTGCGAAGATTTGCTGAGATTTCGTTTGCCATGTTTACCCTCATGTTCTGATGTTCGTCGATGTCGTCATCATCTAATTTGGGAGAGCACAGGTAGTGTGGTTGAAAACCCGTGAACGTGACCTGTTGGTTCAGGCAGGCGTGGTAGTCCTCCAGCAGCTTCGGTCGCTTGGTGTTCGTCAGTCCTGGTGGAGATAACGTGCCGCCCTTGATCATCGGAGACTGCTCATTTCTTTCGAGGTTGTCCTTCTCGATGGTACCCATGGCGGTCGAATCTTCCACTGCTTCCCCTTGAATCGGTAGTGCTGGTTCTCCTGGCAGAGGTGGTGGTGATTCTGATGTTATGGGACTGTTCGTCTTCCTGATATTTGTGATCGGGGTGCTCGTACCTGATGGGATGTCTTTATTATTCACCGCTTGCTTCCCAGTGCCCTGTGGTTCTTCTTGATCATCTCCAGGATACTCAATCGTTCTCGCTGTCGATGGCGAGTCCTCGGGATAGTGTACTGTCTCTGCTGGAGATGGATGGCCTTCAGGATAACGTATGGCTGGTGCTGGTGATATCGGTGAGGTTGATGCTGAGGTCGGCTTGAGTATTCCCGTTGGTCGCTCGATGGTATTGAGGGATGAAAAGACGACTCTACCCCGGGGTACAAGTGCGCGGTCTGTAAACCTCCTGGGGGCCCCCAAGGCCTAGACCCGCCAGGACGCGGCGCACCGCGAAGGGCTTGCAATGTCAGCCCGCAAGAGTTTCAGCGCACAGCGCCTCGTAAACCAGGATAGGGGCGATTTTTTCTGCCCTTGATGGTAGGTGGTGATTGATATGGAGCGCTGTCGATGATGGTGGTGCTGGTGCGTTCGGTGTCGATGAGGTCGATGCCTGTTGGCCGGAGATGAGTAATGTAGGAGTCGAAGGTGGTGTGCGTGTGTACTCGTAGCTGGTTTGAGTATGCTTTTGAATGTTTGCTGGTGGTAATGGTTTGGGAGTTGGTTGTGTAGGCATTGTTGCTTTGGGCGTCGTAGGCGTTGTAGTTGGGGTTGGCCGTGGTATCGAGGTTGTCCGTAGTCTTTCTCCTCTTGGTGACTCAGATCTCGTCCAATGTGATCTTCTGGGGGTTCTCGGTTCCCGATAGGCTTCCTTGACTCGTCGTGGTGACCAGTGCTGTGGATCTTGACGTAACGGTCACGGTGCTGGTGTCGCTGCTGTCGTGGCTTTGGCTGGTGGTCCGCCAGGTGGTTGCGGTGGTCCTCCTGGAGCTGTGGGTGCCGAGATCTCCGAAATCATGCTGTCGTCGTCGATGTCGATGCTCTGAGACGAGTTGTCTTTGTCGTCGTCGAAAGATACCCGTCGTTGTGATCGTGAGTTGGATGAGCATTGTGAAATCGATAGTCTTGGTGGTGTCATCATTGTCTGTCATAGTCCCAGAGGTGCTTGAGGTGCCTGTGGTGGTCCTCCGCCTCGGTCATGTCCTTCTTCAATAAATGATATGTCGTCCTGGATGTCCGTGTCCGACAGTTCCAACGGTACTGCTCCTGATGCACTGGCCGCTGCTGGTGCTGGTGGATCTGGTGGTCCTGTTTGTAGTGGTTGTACTTCGTCTAGTGGTGGCAGTCCTGGTGTTAGCCGTCGTGCTTGTGTTGTAGATGGTGGAGCTGCTGGTGGTTGCCCAGGTGGATCGTCAGGTGGGAATGCTTCACCGTCAGGTGGAATCCGTGGTCCGTCATTGTCGTCGGGATCCAAATCAATGCCTGGTACCCTATACTCCCTGATGTCCTGGGGCTCTTCGAACTGCTGGAATGAATAGAACAGCGCGGTGTTAATGTCCATGTCGTCCGACTTCGGTGTCTGCTTCTTGATGTCCAGCAGTTGCCTGTTGGGATCGAGGTCTCGAATTGTGTAGTCAGCTCGGTTCCCGATGGACCACGTCACCTGTCGTCCATACTTCGCTCCTTTGATGATATGAAGCTTCTGGATACACCTGCCGAAGCAGATTCCGTCCATTGAGAAACCCCATTCCTTCTCGCAGAATTGGTTCGCCAAGGTCCAGACTCGTGGTGGAGAACTCTGCAGGTCCGTGGGTGTCTGCTGTACGTTGCCGTTCTGGTCTATGATGTTGCCGCACAGGTAGACCTTGAATGGCCTGCTGCCCTCGATGTTGTCCAGGGAGTCAATGTGGTCCTCCAGTAGGTGTATGGTCGTGAAGGTCGTGGTCGGTATGTCCGACTGCTCGGTGATGAATGCTGTGGTGGGTTGATGCAGTCGAATGCGTCGCAGTGGTGCTATGTACGGGTAGCCGTTCCACACCACTATAGCGCTGATGTGTAGCAGATAGCAGGGTCCTCTCCAACCTTCGTGTCCCTTGTGATCTGGCGCGCGGTAGAGTTCCACCTTGTCGCCGACGTTGGTCTTGGTGAGATCCAGCTGTCTCGGTCGGGTCCTGTTGGCTACTGCCAGTCTTTCATCCACAATGGTGCGTGAAACGTTCTGCTTGGACTTGATGCGCGTTCGGACGTTGGCCTGCTTGGACTTGATGCGCATTCGGACGTTGGCCTCGAAGGTGTCTGGCGAGGCTTCCAGGGCGCCGCCGTAGGCCGTCGAGGTGTTGCTGTCGATGTCGAAGAAATCACGAAGCGTGAAACCAAAGAGCGCGTTCGATGGTGTTGATCCGCCGTAGGTGAGTAAGTGGTTCTGGGCTTGAACAGCTTCATTGATCAGGGTCTCGCCCGTAACGGGTAGACCTTCCTTGACGGCGTCCACCTTGTTCTTGGGGGCGATGCTCTTTGTCATCATGATGTGTCCTTCGATGAGCCCCGTGGTCGTGTGTTGACCTTGGTTGGGATCTGAGCCTGCGCAGTCTCTCTTAATGCTGTAGCGTCCATGGTGGTGCCGACGATGTCGGAGGTCAGCGCGCCTTCCTGGTCTGAACCGAAGTAGTTGGGCGGCCCGGAGACCCGTATCCAGGACTCCACGAATGCCTTCAGGTATGATGGTGCTGTCTTGTCTTGTCACCATGCCACCTGCTTGAAGCGAATGTGCTCATCGATGAGTAATAGCCATACCTTGCCCCACAGGAAGAAGATGTCGCCCTGCGATCGTTGGTTGAAGGGGCTGGTCATGCTGGCTCTGTTGAGTGTTGTCTCAACGGGGTTTTTCGGGGGAGGAGCTTAGCAGGGACAGAGGGTTGCTCATAGTCTTTTTGGCTCGAGCTTGCTCGAGCCAGAGGGTGCTCAGGACGGCGCGTCCTCTCGTTCTCCCGGGGCTGTGGCTCGCGTCCGTCCTCTCGACGGGGTGGCCGCCATTCGAGCCGCGCCCGCCCCGCCATCAGGTGGTCGCCGACGAGGCGACGTCTATGCCCCCGCCGAAGACATGGGACAAGCGGTTCCACCGCCACAGCGAGGGCCGTGGGCGGGAGGTGCGATTGCTCCACCGCGTGCCGGGGAAGACGAGCTTGTGGACGTGCGTCCTGCCTGGAGGCCGGGTCACGACGATTCGCCTGAACGCTGGGAGGGCCACGATCACGCCCACCAAGCCCGCCAAGTCGGGCGTCTGGTGGGAACCTATGCCCGCGCTCACCGCCGCCCAGAAGCGCGCCGCCGAGGACACGAGCCGCGACATGATCGCCAACGCGGCTGCGATGCCCGACACCGCCGAGCTGGACAGGTACCGGAAGCAGCAGGGGGTGGCGGCGCGGCTCCAGCGGGTCGTGCAGACGATCGCCCTGCTGCCCGCGGGTATCGTCGCCTTGGGGCACTGGTCGGTGGGCTCCTGGTGGCGTTCGGCGGGCATTCTCATCACCATCTACTTCATATACTACGTGATGGAGCGCTCGGGCCTGATTGCCTGGTGTCGCGCGCTCATGCAGGCTGGCAGCACGACGGCCTGGGTGTTCAGTTCCATGATGGATATGTACCAACAGTTGCACGAGGCCGTGCAAGGGTGGATCGACGACTTCAACGAATACAGCGGCTACCAGATCACGATGTGGGAGTTCAAGATGGCCGTCATCTCGTTCATGACCATCGCGGCCCTCGTCTCGTACTTCTGGGAGGAGGTAAGGGACGCGCTGACGGAGGAGCTGGCCTCAGACGCGGAGTCGGAGCCGCCGTCGCCGACCACCAGCGGCCGCGTCACCTTCGAGGATTTCCAGGACGAGGACTCGGAGGCCCCGTGGAAGCAGGAGGTCGCCAGCGCGTTGAAGATACTGGCAGAGGGTCAGTCGAGGCTCCAGGAGACCGTCGAAGCTGTAGAGGGACGTGCTCGTCAGGACCGTCTTCTCCGATCGGTGCAGGGCGTCGACGCCGAGAGCGGATCGGGGCCGAAGTCGGTGGAGGATCTCAGGCGGCGGATCGACTACTTCGAGCAGCTGGTGCGGGACGGCAAGGTGACGGTGCCGTCGGACTCCTCGCCTGCAGCCACGGGTGCTTCCTGGGAGGTCCTCACGCCGACGTCGTCGGGGCGGGAGCTCGCGCTTACGGACGCTCGGGGCCCCTCCACTCCGCCCAGGTCGACGTGGGCCTCCCCTGCGTCTGCGGCCAGCCCTGGTCGCCAGGCGCCCGCGGCCAACCCGCCGCCCGTGCCGCAGCCGCCAATCGGGGTGGCCGCGACCTCTCCGGGGCGCGTCGCCAACATGATCTCCCACCTCGAGCGCATGAATATCAACCCGCAGCAGGCCTGGATGGAGGCGCTGAAGGAGTATCGCGAGATCGAGCCGAGCCAGTGGCACATGCCCGACGGCTACCGCCAGCGAGTCGTGCCCGAGTACCTGACCAAGGTGTACAGCGCGCCGCGGACGGGCAAGGAGTACGCTCAGCAGTTCCTCCGCGACCGCCAGCTGGAGACGTGCGGCGCCGCCAAGGGCATGGTCGACGCGCTGGCCTGCATCGACAGGCTGCTGCTGGAGGACCGCACCCCCGACCTGGTGAACCTCGTCAGCCTGGAGTACCTGGCGAGGAAGGCCTACGCGATCGAGACGGGCTTCGAGCTGGTGCGCTGCGAGAGCGACTGGAAGAGGCCGTCGGGCAAGAAGGAGTGGACGTCGAAGGTGGACTGGGACATGATCCACCGCATCGACCCAGCCAGCGTGTCCGACGCGGCCCGCGGGGAGTACATGAGGGAGGTACGCGAGGAGCTGAAGACCGGGATGGCCAGAGACGCCGACTTCATGAAGCTGAAGCTGAAGGTCGGGGAGAGGTCGCCAGCGGTCGACCCGATCAACGGCTAGAGGGGGCGCCGCCCTGGGCGCTTTCTTCCAGGTCGCTCCACGCCTCAACGCAGATCGTGGGCGACCGAGTTTTTGCCGAGCCCGGCGTCGTGCCTCGTGGGTGGTCGTCGGAGCGAGTTTCCAACGTGGAGCGCATTGATCCTGAAGCACGCCCTTACCACCGTGATGACCGAGCAGACAGAGGTCGGCGACCCGCTCAGGGCCCTGAAGCTGATCGAGTATCCTGCGACCGACTCGGGGGCGCGGAATCGGAGCCGAGATCGGGCGCGCCTGCGGGAGATCGACCGGGCCAACCACTGCTTGGTGGCGCTCCGCTGCCTGGCCTCGGGGTTCGTCTCGAGCGAGGTCCTGGAGACGCGGCCTTCGGTCCCGAGGGGTTTGTCCCCCCATCGTCTCAACGAGAAGTCGCTGGCGGCCGGGCTGGCTCAGAGGATTCTGCGTGCTGTCCGACGGCGACTGCCTGCTGCAGACCGTCCGGTGGGGCGAGTCGCATTCGAGCGGCTCACGGGAGGCGCCGCCAGCGGAAGCGGCCCCTACCCTGTGGGGTCGACCCCCACCACCCCGCCAACACTTGCAAAGAGAGGAGACATCTGCCCCGCGGTCGTGGACGAGATATCGCTGCCGCCGGTGGGGACGACGGGCCTGAGGATCGAGGATGTCTCGCCGCGGGCCGCCGCCCTGCTGTCGGACTACCGGGGCACGATGCTGAGGGGCGAGATGGCGGAGGGGGCGTCGGGCATCAAGCCGTACACCGACCCCCTCCTGAGAGTCAAGAAGAACATGGTCAGGCTGGTCGCTCGCATGGCTGCGGGCGGCATGATGGACACGTCGGATGTTTGCAAGGGGGAGGTGGCGCTCTTCACGGTCGTCAAGAAGTGGGTCTTGGCGGAGGGCGCCCAGCCCAAGCGCAGCTCCCGACTGGTGTTCGACGAGCGCCTCGAGAACCTGAAGTGGCGGCGGCCGCCCTGGTGCTCCCTCGGAGCCGGAACGGCACTCGGCTTCGTCGACGCGAGCAAGGAGATCGCCGAGGGCTACCAGGTGCTGGCCGCGGTCGGCGACATCCCCGACTACTACTACAGGCTGCTGCTTCCGCTGGAGGTCGCGGAGCACTTCGTGGTGCCGGGCGTATCCCCGGCGGAGGTGGCGGAGGAGATGAGGGCGCGGGGGTTGCAGGTCCCATTCGACGAGACCAAGGCCTACATGGTCGTGCGGGCCCTGGTCATGGGCTTCTGCTGGGCGGTCTACTTGGCGCAGATCTGCCTGGAGGATTGCCTGCAGGGGGCCGGAGGATGGCTGCACGAGCGAAATCGGCTGGCGTACGGCCTGCCCGTCCCGAGGATCCGCCCGAGCGAGCCCGTCCACTGGCAGTACATCGACGACTACGGCCTACTGGCGCTCGACGCTCCGGAGGCGACGGCGGAGGCCTTCGGTGCCGACGGGCTCGTCGGCCTCGCCAAGGCCAGGGGCGACGTGACGTCGCAGCTGAAGGAGCGGGGCTTGCCTGTTCACAAGGAGGAGTTCGGGAAGCAGGTCAAGACGCTGGGCTGGCTTCTGTCCGGCACCGAGGACGGGGACATGTTCGTGGAGCCCGACCCCGAGAAGATGGACATGCTGGTAGAAGCCACGGTGGAGGCCTGCCGCCGAAGGACGATCAAGGTGCGGGACCTGATGACCTTGGTCTCGACCTGGACGTGGTTCGCGCTCGTCCAGCGGCCCACCCTCTCCATCTTCGACGCGGTCTACAAGGCCATACAGAAGTTCAAGGACGGCGAGGACGTGACGATGTGGCCCGGGCTGAAAGGCGAACTGATGACCATGGTCGCTATCAGGCCCCTGCTTTTCGCCCGACTGGGGCGGCCCTGGCTGGAGCAGGCGGGCATGACGGACGCGAGCTTCTTCGGGGCGGGCGTCCTGGTCACCCCCTCCGGGATCGACGAGCTGAGGAGGGAGGCCCGACTCGCAGCGCCGAAGGGCTGGTTCGCCGAGCAGGCGGATCTCCTAGGCGAAGACAGCAGCGACGACGAGGAGGACCCGGCGGACATCGACAACGGGCGCGACGCGTCCGACGAGCCCGAGGCAAGGAGGTCTATGAGGCCCATGGTCCCGGGCACCGAGGTGAACCGCACGGCCCACCTGTTCGCGGGGCACCGCCGACCCCTCGACTTCGAGGACCACCTGACCAGGATGGCGCAGGAGCGGGACCGATGGCTAGTCGTGGAGTCGATCGACAAGGTGCTCCACAGCGACCACGACCTGCTCGACCGCAAGAAGGTGCAGGCCCTGTGCCGCCGCGCGCTGGAGGGCCAGTTCCAGACAGCCCACGCTGGCCCGCCGTGCGGGACCTTTGCCCGCGCTCGGCACAATCGGGCATGCCAGGGCCCCCCTCCCCTGAGGAGTCGGACGCGCCCCAGGGGTTTGGCAGGGCTTTCGACGACTCACCGGGCACAGGTGATGGTGGGCTGGGAGCTGTTCGTCGCGACGATCGAGTTCCTGGGCTGCGTAGTCATCGGCGGGGGCCTCTACTCCCTGGAGCACCCCGAGGACCCTGGGCAGGAGCCGTACCCGAGCATCTGGATCCTTGCGGTCACCATGGCTCTGGAGAACATGGCCTTCGCCCGCGGCTCCAACGGCTTCGAGGCTGCCAAGAGGGACTTCTGGGAGAAGATCAGGGAGGCCAGGGACCCCAACGTCAGCGACCGCGAGCTGCTGGGCGTGCCGGGCGAGGCTCAGCGGGCCTCGAGGGCGTCCTTCGACCAGTGTCGGGAGGGTCTGGCATCACGGAAGCCAACTACAGTGTCCAGCAGCATCCTGACGTTGGTCCGGGCGCTCGACGGCCGCAGGTGCGACCACGGCTGGCACCCGCCGCTGCAGGGGAAGCTTCCAGACGGCAGATTCCGGACCTCGCTCGCCCAGAACTACCCGAGCCAGCTGTCGGAGAAGCTGGCCTTTCACCATCTCGAGGCGCTCGACCTGGTCGTGCCCGGGTCACGGAAGCCGATGCAGTCCCTGAGCGACGAGGTGGCGGTCCGCCTGGCCGCCTTCGCTACGGCGGGGGACGACCTCGCCGCGCAGATTCGAGCGCCAGAGGTCGGGCCCAGCTGGGACCCGCTGGAGCGCTGGAGCGAGCTCCTGAGGGTCAGGTGGACGCGTTCGGAGCACCAGAATGTCCTCGAGCTGCGTGCTCTCATGCTCTACGTCCAGACCACCCTGAAGAAGAGATCGGCCTGGGACAGGCGCCTGCTCGTAATCACGGACTCGATGGTGGCGATCGGCGCGGTCTCAAAGGGCAGGAGCAGGTCCAAGTCTTTGAACACTCTCCTCCGCCGCCTCGCCGCCTACGCCCTCGGCTGCGGGTCAACGATCTACCCGAGGTGGGTGTCGAGCGGGCGGAACCACGCGGACGGGCCGAGCAGAGGCTACAGCAAGGGCCAGGCGCCGAAGGAGATCACAGAGCGCCTACGGCCACCTGTTCGTCATGGCGTGTTCGTGGACGGAGTGCGGGTGACGGCGCCTGTGATTGGGCAGACATGACAGGGCCTCGTGGACTACCGAGTGCTGCGACGAGGTCGGGACCCATGCTGGGGCTGATGATGGCGATCCTGCTGTTTCAGGTGGAGGGCGTCAGATCCACTGCCAGGCGGGCCTCGCCAGCTGCGGCGCTCCCGAAGATACAGCGCCGTGGCCTGCGCGCCTGGCAGACCTCGGGCACCGACTTCTTCGAGGGCCACAAGAGCGACCTGCTGAGCGGCGGCTGCCCCCCGAGGCTGCTGGTGCACGCGCAGATGGACGCGACGGCGCTCCAGTACATGAGGGCCTGCAGGAAGTTCTGCGACTGGGCAGAGGAGCAGGAGGTCGAGATCTACCCGAGCTGCCGCCTGGATAAGGCGATCAGTGTCTACCTGGACGTCTTGTGCTTCGACGACGAGATCGGCGTCGGTGAGGGCAAGAGCTTGACCTCGGGCATGCTGGCCATGTACCCAGGGCTTCGCCTTCCGGAGGCCTACCGCGCCCTGAAGGCCTGGGAGGGTCTCCGCCCCACGGTGCAAGGCTCGCCCATCGGCGTCCCGCTGCTGATGGAGATCGTGGACCGGATGTCTCACTACGGCGAGGACGGCCGCACAGCAGCGGACGCTGCTCTGCTCGCCTTCGACTGCTACCTCAGGGAGCAGGACTGGGAGCTGATGAGGGTTTCGGACGTCGTCTCGGCCGACGGCGTGACCGCGATCCGGCTGGGCGTCCAGGAGCGCGGCGAGCGGGTCAAGACGGGGCAAGAGCAGGGCGTTTTGATTGACTACCCCGGGACCCAGAGGATGCTTCTCGACCGCATCCAGGGCAAGAAAAAGGACGATCGCATTTTCCCCATCAGCCAGGTCAGGTTCCGAAACATGTGGTACCGAGCGTGTGCGGAACTCGGCGTTGCAGAGATCGTGGGCCGACCTCACAACATTCGACACACGGGGCCCTCCTTCGACGTTTGGATCGGTTATCGCACTTTGAAAGAAGTCCAAAAGAGAGGCCGTTGGAGAGTAGATTCAAGTGTTCAGAGATATTCCAAGACCCACGAGTACGCCACAGCCCTCGCGAGAACCCCTGAGAACCTGAAGGAGCTAGGTAGCCAGAAGTACCATGACCTCGGTGAGCGGCCCAAGAGGCCGCGGTCCTGAGCTGAAAGCTGTGAGTGCTTGGGTTTCTGTTCTAGTCCGGAGGCGGGCCTCGCTTTTCCCCTCTCCGCCCTCCCTTTCTCGCTCCGCCCGCCTCAAGTGTCCTGAAGGACCCCTTACAGGATTCCGGGAGTGGCCGTGCATGACTGTCCAGATTCGCGCTCCTGGAGCGCGAGTGCGAGGCCTGTCAATAACTACAGCCACTGCGAGGTTGCTCGCATTTCTCGTGAAATAGTATCTTGTGCGGCAGGAGTCCGAGGGAAAAACATGTGCGATAGAACTCTCACTTGTCTATTGTCACGGAGTCTGCGCTCCCCTCCGGCGTCCCTTTAAAGCTAGATCCCTTTAGAAAATGAGTGTTGTCTCAACGGGGTTTTTCGGGGGAGGAGCTTAGCAGGGACAGAGGGTTGCTCATAGTCTTCCCTCCCGTACCCACCCTGTGCTCCCCCCCTCCCGTGGCCGTGCATGACTGTCCAGATTCGCGCTCCTGGAGCGCGAGTGCGAGGCCTGTCAATAACTACAGCCACTGCGAGGTTGCTCGCATTTCTCGTGAAATAGTATCTTGTGCGGCAGGAGTCCGAGGGAAAAACATGTGCGATAGAACTCTCACTTGTCTATTGTCACGGAGTCTGCGCTCCCCTCCGGCGTCCCTTTAAAGCTAGATCCCTTTAGAAAACCGTAGGTTTGGTCATTGGTCGTGCAGTACGTTGGCATCCGTCACAAAGTTCCGATGGTAGTCTCCAACAGAGCTTGAGGATGTCCTTGTCGATGCCGAGGTTCTTCATCAACTGGATTATCTCTACGGGCGTCGCGTGCCAAAACTTCAAGTGAAATCCTAGAAAAGCGAGTCGTCCCTGTTCTGATTGACACTCCTCAAGCTGTTCCTCGAAGCGTTTCAGGTCGAAATTAAGCTAAATGGTAATCTTGCCCCTTGGAAATGCCAGGTGTGTCGTGGTCCGTGGAGGTGCCCCCAGTCTTTTCAGGATCTGTCAAGTCTGGTTATTTCGCAGGATCGGGTAGGTCATGTTTGTCCTGGTCAATAAGATCGGAGCTACTAGCCGGCTGAGGAGACGTGTTTTGCTCTTCTTTGTCTTGATTCTTTTTTCCTTCAATTTGTTGTTGATTGCCTTCGTCTTGTGGTGCTGCTGGCGGTGGTTCTTGTGGTGCTAGTCCTGGTGGAGGTGCCGGTGCTTCTCCTGGTCGTCTGCTTGGGTAGGGCTCTCGTTCTGGTGCGACTTGACAACCTTTGACTCGAGTGCGTGGTGATTCTGCCTTACTGCCGTGCTTGCGTCGTCCGCAGGGCCAGAACTGGTCCAGGATGGGTATCCTGTGGTCGTTGATGCGTTTGGTGATGTCGAAGTAGTTGCTGACGCAGTCGATCGGGGTGCACTTTTGCTCTCGCCGTTCTGCACGCTCCTCTATATTGTCCCACAGGCCACGCGTGAGGTCTGGTACATTGACATAGAACTGCTAGTCGTTTGCACCTGAAGCTGCCGACGAACGTGATCCTTCCTCGTCCTGATGTCCATGTCGACATTGATCCGTCGGTTTCTCGTAGATGTTCCCGTCGAAGTCGAAGATCTTCTTTAGTGCTGATTCGGTTCAGATGCCGCTGTTGAAGGGGTTCTCGTTGAGGTAGTCCTCATGCTTGGCCGTCTTTGAGTACTCTTCTGCTATCCATTCGAGTAGTGGTTGATCGCGTTGGCGATTGGTCTCCTTCTTCCCGGGATCCACGGTCTGACTCGCGACTGACCACGGTGTGCATTCGGGAGAGAAGAACTCGATCTTCACACTGACAATCTCTCGGAACTGTGTGATCAACTTCTGATGTTCAAGTCGTCGAAGGTCCCATCCTTATCGTAGGTCCGTTGGGAAGCCGACCGTGAGGTTCGATCTGATGGCCCATGAAGTCAGGGTGCTGCTTCCCGGGAGGTGTTATTGGAAGTCAATTTCTCGTACGTTGTGACGTTGTGGCGTCGAAGGTGGTCCATGGACTTGCCGATATTGTCGGGCGTGATCACGGGTAGTTGAGATTTGCTGTAGAACTTCTCGGAGACTCCGATGTGTGCCTTGGCGCACCGGTTGGGGTCGTGCTGGTTTGGATCGTTTGGCAGGAGGTCGCCGTAATATTTGTGATCTTTGAAACTGGCCCACGTCATGTAATAGTCTTGATGCATGGTAGTCTTGTGCTTCTGTGGAAGTCCCCTGTTGACCGAACAAATCGTTTCGGTAATCGTTCCTGATGTGCCGTTCGATGTGCTGTTCGGTACTGACGTTGGTGATGAAGTAGTGGAAACTGGTCCCGACATGCTCATCGTTCGGAGATGTCCATGATCGCCGTCGGTGACCATCATATTCGATATCGCCTTATCGTCTCGCAACCGTTCGATGCCATCTCGTGAACTCTGCATCGCTGTCATCATGTTGTCATTGGATTCAAGGATCTTCGTGTTCCCACGGGTTGTTCTTGGCGATCTTGATCGGCTCGAGCATTATGAAAGACGGTTGGGCATTGTTCCTTGTCGTGTCTGTCCCGTTCGTTCAGCTCGGTGACGAACGAACTGAAAGCCTCGGGGTACTTCATCAGCTCCTGTGTGCACGTATTCTTGGTCTACATCCTCGGGGTTGTCGCAGTTGTCGATCGGAACTATGTAGTGATTCGAGTCGGTGTGCAACAGTCGGATGTAGACAGGTCGCTGTTGATGCTCGCCGTTCTCGTCGACAGGAAAGATAGCCAGTGTGCCGTCCATGAAGGGCAGCGCGTTAGAACGTCGATACCTTGAACTTGATGGAGGACTTCAGTGGAAAGAGGCCTGGGCAGTAGGATCCTGGGCCGCCGATGAGGTCGCCAGTGAAGGGCGAGTTCTCCTGGGCGGGGATGCCGAGAGGGATTTTGCTCTTGCTGGTCCTTGGTACTGGAATGCCGTCGATGCCGGTGAACTTGGCGTTGGTGGGCATGATGTCGTAGTTGATGCCCAACGGATCTAGCACGTCCTCGTAGTATCCTCACTGGGCGTCGGTGCCCATGAGTCCAGATGCTGCCCCGGGATCGTATAGGAGTCCGCGTCGTTCCTGGCCCCTGACCGAGTGAAAGGTCCCTTCCGATGTTCCTGCTGTGAAGAGTGGGCAAACGAAAAATCGAGTTTTCCAGGGACTACCTCCTCTAGGTAATCGGTGTCGATGGCTTCGGAAGTGTTGCCCCGGCGATCTGAAGTCGATGCTCCTCGAGGATCCTGAAACCGATGATATGTTGCCGTCGTCGTTAGTTCGCGGGGGTGTCCGTTGAACTTCTGGGGCTTCTAGGGCCGTCGGCCGTTTTCGAGGTGTTGAAGGCGGCTCTGCTTCCGTCGCTGCAATCCAGGAACCCGAGGAACCTGAAGGGATTGGTGATGGTGTATCCAGAGGTCGTCGTCGAGTGGGTCTGTTTTCGTCATCATCGTACCAGGCCTGGAGGTCGGCCTCAGTCCTCGTGGCGCTTGTGTTCGGCTTTCCGGAACTTGTGAACGTATCTAGCTCCTCCGAGATGCCGGCGAAGTGGCCGCTGTGGTTGGTGCTGACGTGGCCGTGTGCGTACTGCTCGCGATCTTATCATTCATCGTCGTAGTCGTCGTAATCTTCTTCGTCCTCGTAGTGCTGCCGGAATCCCGTGCCGCGTCCTGTCTTGCCTCTGCGCTTGCCTTTTCCTTTGCCATTGTCTTGTTGTTGTCGTAGCGTAGCTCCTGCGGGGTTCCCGGCCGTATCTGTTGGCACCTTTTTTGCCTTTCGTTTTGCGTTTACTTTTGTTGTCGTTCGTGCCCGACGGAGAGCCTTTGTCGCTCCTGGTGTCCTCTTGGTCTGGGTTCTTGTTCTTATGATGATCACCTTTGGCTGGGCAATCTGGTGTGCGATGCCACTTGGAGCCGCATTTCGAACACCCTTGTCCGCGTGTGGTTTTGCCTTTGCCTTTGCCATTGTTGCCCTTGTAGGTGCCATCTTCGTTCTCGTGCTCATACTCCTGGTCGGTCGAAGTCTCCCAGGATTGATCATCCCATCCAGTTCTCCAATCGTCGTCGTACCAGTCAGTATCGCCTCAGTGGGTGCCATGGTCTTCCCAGGTATACCAATCGTCGTCGTCATGCCAGTAATCTTCGTGCCAGAAACCTCCGATGTCGTCTCGATAGTTCTTGATCTGGTCGGACTTCGCCATCCTGCTGAGTAGGCCCTTGATCTCTCCGTATCTGTTCAGATCGCCGTCTACTTTCAGCTTGATGTCGCCGATCTTCCGTTGAGGCAGCTCGCTGCCCGAAAGCAGGAGGCGCGAGCGTCCTGTCGGGTTGATCTCCAAGCCAGCCGTCTCCGATGCTTCGGCGTAGACCATCTCGAAGGCTGCAATGTATTGGGCCAGGTCTCTCTGGCCACGTCTGAAAGCGAAGAACTTGTCCAGGTGGATGGTCGCATTGTCCTGTTCGTGAAGGCCATGCTCTTGACCATGCCATCTGGTGAACTGTGAAAGTCCGCTGGGCTGGGCCTCGATGTCCTGAGCTGGCTGCGCCAGCACTGCTGGTAACGCGAAAACATTCTCGCCAACGTAGTTGAAGCCGTCTCTCTCGATCGTGAATCTCAGGGCCTGCCTCCGTACTCCGCCTTGAAGTCGCGATATCACTAGTAGTGCTGCGACCATCTCGTCAGGCTCGTTCTTCGTGCGCCACCAGATGGAGAAGTTCTGGTGGTACTTGCGTACGTAATATCGTGGTATTCCGGGCTTCCATCCAGGCGGCGTGTTCCGTGTTGATTCTTCTAGCGATAACGTTCCACTCCATGGTGCCGTCATCGTGAACGATGTTGTCTCCAGTGTCGAAGATGCCGAAGAAGAGAAATTATCGTAATCCTTACCCAATGTGAATGATGTTGTCTCCTGTGTCGAAGATGTTGAAGAAGAGAAGATATCGTAGTCCATACCTATTGTGAATGATGATGTCCCCCGTGTCGAAGAGACTGAAGAAACTCCATAATCCCTACCAGGTGTGGATAATGATGTCTCCGGTGTCAATGACGCCGAAGAAGAGGTGTATCCGTAGTCCTTACCTGTTGTTGCCGGTAGGTTGTCCTGTAGTGCGTGAGAATATTCACGTAGACCGTGGGGCATGTCATGGTGATCGTGTATTTGTCCACGTGCTGATGTATGGCGCCGCCGATGTGTGGCCTGGGCGCCGCGCGCGCGCGGGGGCCGGACGCTCCGCTACCAGAGCAGAAATCCTATTCATCTTGAACTGGGGCGGTAGCGGAACCGCTCCATCTCTGTTAATGCTTTCAATCCTCAGGAAAACTCCAAGAGAGGGGCTATGGTCCAGAATCTTTGTTTTCCCCCTCCTCCTCCTCCTCCCCCTCCCTCTCCTTCCCCTCCTCCTCCGATTACTCTCCTCCATCCTCCCCCCCTTGGGGTATGACGGCTGCCCCAGCCCTGTCTTCCACTGCGTGCCTCTCCACATCACTGATCATGGCAACTCGCCCGGGCAGCGCTTTTGGATCGGCTGATGGGATTACGCGAAGCGTCTAGAATTGGACTCGCGGCCCTACCAACCGGCGAATCGAATCGCACCAGGTCGAATCGTGGGCGGCCCTGGCGGGGCCCGTCGTCGTCGTCGACGTCGCTCCCGCGGCCAGAGGGGGCAGACAGGCGCTGCTCGGTCGGGCCTGCGCGGCACGGCACGTCGCGCGGGGGTTCCGAGGGCGAGGCTGCAAAAATCAGCCTGGGCGGCGCGGCCGTGGAGACGGACCTGGGCGCTGGCCTGGCCTGGCTGGTGCTGCAGCTGCGTCCTCCTCCTCCTCCTCCGCTTCCGCCCTCTCACTTCCTGCTTCCTCCCCTGCTCCTTCCCCCTCCTCACTTCCCAACTCTTCCCTTCCCCCCCCCCTCCCCCCCTCCTCCCTGCCTACTCCCTCCTCCCTCCATCCTATTCTCATCCTGCTCCTGTTGCCCCTCCTCCTGCGCCCTCCCACCATCCCGCCCTCCTCCACCGCCGCCTCCTCCTCATCCAACCTTCCTCCCCCCCCCGCCCTTCTCCTTCTACTCGGCCCTGATCCCCCTTCTCCCCATCCTCTCCTCCCTCCTCCGTGTCCTGGTACTCCGCCTCCTAATCCTGCAGGAGGGAGGTGGAAGGGGGAGGGAAGGAGGGGGCGCTGTGACCTCTCTTGCCTGCCTCTCGTCCGCCCTGTGCGCTCCCCCATTCAGTGCGGGCGATCCTGCTTGGCCTCAGCGGTCGAGTTCTCCAATATGGGATGCTCACCCACGTACCTCAGGACAACTAGAACAAACACGATGGATCGATTCGGCCTCTTTCTCAATTCCGCCCTCTAAAGGATACTGCGAAGCAG